GATGGATGGATGGATGGATGGATGGATGGATGGATGGATGGATGGATGGATGGATGGATGGATGGATATCTACTGTGCATATTGCACCAACCTCAGAAAGTAAGCCTGCTTTTATCTTCACATTTCGATTAAGGAAAATGTACATTAAAATATAACACCAAAAAAACTATAAAGGCAACATTATTGGTTTTGCTCAAATATTTGATGAGATCTAAAACTTTTTTTCCCAATAAAACAATATAACCATTTCCCTCAAATACTGTTCACAAACCAGTCTAAATCTGCGATGCTGAGCACTTCTCCTGTGCTGATTAGACACCAGGATTTGTTCACAGGTGTGCCTTACTGTATACTGCCCACAATAAAAGGCTACTCTGATTTAGCTGATTTTATTTTATCAGGAAACACCTGTTCTAAATGATGGATCATATGGGTGTGTTAAAGGAGACACAATTTAATCAATTACTTTCTTTATTCGAGTCATATGAATCTCATCGGAGTCTGTTGAAAGTTTATTCTTAAATGTATTAAAAGTTTTACTAATCTGTCTTTCTTCTTCCAATTTGATTGGTTTTTGGTTTTTCGATTTCTTTGGTCAGTTTTGGTTGATTTATTTCTGATAATACTATTTAGTATTTCCCATTTCCCTTTTACATTGAAATATCCTATTTTACATTTTCTAAGGATACAAATTAACTTATATCTTTTATGACTTTGTTGATAATGCTCTAATTTATAAAATGTATAAGTTATACAAGCATTAGTTAAACCCTTCAAAATCCAAGGACATTTTAATGACAATTTTGTATAATTGGACAATGTTTAATCTATTCTTTAAGTGAGTGCTTTGTTGTGAGTGTTAAAAGGCTTTCTTTAAAAAAAACCCAAAAAACTTTAACCAATATCCATTTTTAAGAAACCAAATCAAATAGAGAAATGCTACTTCCTTCTTTTTGTAAGCAGCCATAAAACTACTATTTCATGCAAAATGTGCTAAGATTAAATTTCACATATTGTTGATGAAGGATTGGATAACTTCAACATAAGAGAATTAACACTAATTGAACAATGTTCTGATCTGTTTGTTTTGAATGAACAGAATAGAATAGAATTGAAGAGAGAAGAGAAGATAAATAGTATTCTTCTCCCGCAGTGGGAAAATACAGTTATGATGCAGGCAAAAACAGAGATAGACACACAACACTAATAATCTAACAAGAAAATAAATAAAGTTAAACTTTACAGTTGAAATACAAACATGTTTTCAGAAAGGAAAGAATACTGAGTTATTACTAATACAAAAATATATTTAGGCAAAAACGAGAACCTTTCAAATAAAAAAAAAAGAAAAGCATCAGCTGATATACAGAAATGGGTGATCAATATGGTTATAGAAAAAAAAATCAACAGCTCCATACATAAAAAACATGCAAATGGCATGAGGTGGATAGATGATCGCAGCATTATTTGAGTAAGTAAAAGAAGCATATAATTTAATAGGCTACCAAACCATTTTCACACACTAGTGTAATTTTATAAGAATAAAAAACAGTTTTCGTTGAAAAAGTAAGCCAATATTTACTGCTCTTTCATTTTTAGTTTGTTTTAGGTAATATGTTGGGACTTTTTGAAATTGATTCCTTTCAAAACCGTTCTTACAAAAGTATTTGTTACAAAAAGGAAAACCCCTTCCTCATTTTTTCTTCTTTTTTTTCAGCCACAAAGCTAGTGCAATGTTAGGTCAAAACTACTATATGACCCAAAATAAAATGGCTTTGGTGCAGGCGTAATCTTACAGTACAGTACATCGTTGTTATTGCAGTTTATCACAAATTTTTGTGTTTATTTTAAAACACAGTATAGGTAGATGCATAGTAGATATAGGTGGATAATCAAATTCTACGATATTCAGTTTGAACAAATGGAGCAAGTGACAACAAACACAAATTAACATAAAAATATTTGCATGGATCGGTGCACGACCTTTAATCTTTGTTTTTGTTTAATATGATAGGCAGGAAAATCCTAATTTATCAGTTTTTGCTTGTTGGGTTATATATTGAAAACAACTTCTCTTGTCTTTTTGTTCAGTACCATTTCCCATCAGTGATTGTGCCGAGAAAACATCCAAGGTACTCCTTACTGTGGTTAGAGTAGGGAATAACCTAAGATTTTGAAGAATTACAATCTCTTTCCTGTTTAAGAAAACAAAATGCAACTGGAAGGTAAAATATAATATAAGATATATAATATTGATCAATAAATGAAATATTTAATTAATTAAAAGGTCTACATATTGGAAAACATTTTCTACTAATCTACTTTATTTTGTTGTGTGCATTAAGACAAGTGACTCATGATACTCAGTTCTTATATGTTTATTAGGATGTATTTAAAACAAGAATACAGAAAATTATATTTTCCAGAACTTCATATTTTTTTCAGGTTGCCAGGCTTCTGCTTGCTGTGAAATACTGTAGGTACATTGCTCATATATTGCACTTTATTTAATTAATAAAGTCTTTGTTCTCAGACTTAATGAGAAAATCACATGTAGCCTTTAAATTTAAGGACAACACATACAGTAGTTAAATCTGCAGAGCTCTGCTCCATCTTCGCTCCTCTCATTCGATATGACCAGCAATGAAAGCATGCTAAACACCCACCACATTACTGTCCTCAGCCAGTCAACATCAAGTATAAATTTATGTCAATTCAAGTTCAGTTTAATTCAGTTTATTTATTTAGCACCAATTCATAACACAGGCCATCTTGAGGTTCTTTGCAGAAACACTTTTATCAGATCATACAGTTGGATTTGGACTTGGATTTAAAGCTCCACAAGGAGCACTGTGCAAGCGATAATATTGAAATAGAAGCAGTACCAGACTGCTGCGAATATGAAGACCTGGATGTCCCGCTAAATTTCAGCTAAAAAAAAATAGAAGACTGATCACAGATGCAGCCAAGAGGCCCATTATTCCTCTGGATGACAGCAGAGATAGCTGAGGTGGGAGACTATGTCCATAGGACAACAATCAGTTATATACTGCACAAATGTGGCCTTTATGGAAGAAAGCAATGTCTTAAATATATCCATAGAAATTATGGTTTAAAGTTTGCTACAAGCTACATGGGTGACATAGCAAACATGTGGAAGAAAGTGATGTGGTCAGATGAAACCAAAATCTAATTTTCTGACAATAATGCAAAACGTTGTGTTTTGCCTTAAAACAACACAGCTCATCACACTGAACACACCATGTCCAATGTCAAACATGGTGGTGGCAGCATCATGGTCAGGGCCAGCGTTTCTTTAGCGGGAACAGAGACAATGGTTAAAATTGATGGAAAGATGGATTGAGCCAAATACAGGACCATTCTGGAAGAAAACCTGACCTCTCAGAGGTTGACAGGAGAACGGGGTCAGGGTCAGGCAATCAGAAACACA